CGGTTGATGCTATTGATTATTTAGTAACATGAACAAAAACAGATTTCATCAGTAGTATGTCTTGCTTTACATTCACGCATTTCCACGCTTTTACTAATTTTCATTCAAGTTCAATTTAAATTGGTTTGGAATCCGTTGTTTTTTTTTGAAAATTTAGCACTTCGCTCAACAGGTACAATTTTTTCCGAACTGTTAATTTTTTTTAATGTTTGACGGTATCGTATTAAAAACGTTTATTCGTTAATTTATGCTACTCTCTAAAATTAAGCACGCCCAGGGATTCTTACCTCGAATATGCTTTCAAGCTCTGCATTCTTCTTAAAGAATCGATCCTTAGTGTGGGTTTTTGACCATCACCGATTAAATTGACCAATCCAGTTTTTAACACGTTGCGCAACAGCCGCAGGTGCTTTCGACAGTGCGCTAGACACAAAGTCAAGTAAATGGTTCTCCAAATTGTCCTTTAGTTCAGATCAAATTCTCATCCAGGTTCACAGATTCAAAGCCCTTTGTATTAAAGCATCTCCAAACAGGGTTAAACATATCATGCACATTATTTACGTTTGAATTCGATATGTTTAAGACGTTCTAGCTTCACCAAATTGTCCTCAAAACTTGTTAATTAGGCTACCATCTTGCATTTTAGTTTGATTAAATTCATAGATCAGGGGGCCTCCATGAGCTCGGTCGGTAGAGTCTGCTACTATAAAGCAAACCATGCTGTAGGTGGCTGGGTTTGAATCCCGGTTGGTCTAGTATTTCAGATTGGAAAATTTCTCGACTTCCCTGGGCATAGTATATTATTGTACTTGCCACACAAAATACGCATGTTAAAATCGAACAGGCTTGGAAAGCTTTCAATTAACAACTGTGAAAGTGCATCTAGAGCACTAAGTTGAGAGCAGGCGTTAAGTTACAGTTGGGACGTAATAGCCAGAGAAGATCATAGATAGCTCTAACTAGCGGAGGAATTCCGAATTGTTCTGTCCATCATCCAACATTCCTTGACCCCTGCTAAACTTTGCCGAAGAAATCATTCGTGTAAATAGTCAGGATCTTGAGATACACCAGCACAAATATATTCACTTTCAAAAATCCCTAGCGCCACCTAGCGGAAGAATTCCGAATTGTTCTGTCCATCATCCAACAATCCTTGACCCCCTGATCAACTTTGCCGAAGAAATCATCCGTCTAAATAGTTAGGATCTTGAGATACAGCAGCACAAATATATTCACTTTCAATAATCACTAGCGCCACCTAGCGGAGGAATTCCGAATTGTTCTGTCCATCATCCAACAGTCCTTGACCCCCTGATAAACTTTACCGAAGAAATCATCCGTCTAAATAGTCAGGATCTTGAGATACATATTCACTTCGAATGCTCATTAGCGCCACCTAGCGGAGGAATTCCGAATTGTTCTGTCCATCATCCAACAGTCCTTGATCTTCTGATCAACTTTGCCTAAGAAATCATCCGTCTAAATAGTCAGGATCTTGAGATACAGCAGCACAAACATATACACTTTGAATGCTCACTAGAACCGCCTAGCGGAAGAATTCCGAATTTTTCTGTCTATCATCCAACAGTCCTTGACCTCCTGATCAACTTTGCCGAAGAAATCATCCGTCTATATTATCGGTATCTTGCGAGGGGGACGACTCTATCTACGATGCAAAAAAGATTGTGTTTTGCTGTGGCTAGCTGCGCGCACGCTGAGTAGATAGAAAGAAGATTGATGACGATTCTGAAGATTTCCTGCAAAAATATGATGAGCGATGCAAGTAGATGCGACAAATGAAAGAAGATTTTTCGAAGATTGATTCGCTAGTGTGAGCTTTGTTGAGCATCTAAACTTGAGATTTAGATGTGTCGCCCCCCTCGGTATCTTGAGATACAGCATTCAAATCATGCAAAATAGGAGATTTTAGGGCAAAACTGTGAAAAACCTCAACTTACCTTATCGTGCCCAAGATGAAACCCACTCCAATCGATTCCTGAGACTTTTTTCTATAAGAATGACTATTTTTTAGTCTCTTGTTCCAGTGAGCACCGAAGTTATTGAATTTTAACACATTGTTTCGATTTTGTCCCCAGTGTGCAACGGCTCCGATTTGATGAGGTCTATTTTCAACTGAAAGACCGGTACACAGATTACCTGGGGGAAAATGAAGAACAGATGTCCCAGCACAGTGAAAGGAATGAGTCGCCTAGTGTAGAGTCGGTGTATAATGAGTCACGCCAAGAGAAAAACAGTTGAACTCGCATCACGGTTTTCGAAAGATTTCCATTCTTTTCACTTGGCAACAGAGGACTTCTACAACAACTTCAAATGACTTCCTAGCGAGAGAAAAAAAATGCGGCTGTAGTAAATCATTATATCAGTGATTTTGTCAAATTATCAAATAATAGTAGAAATTCTCATTACTGATCGTTACCGAACGTATCCCATGACAATTTAATGCTCACTGTGTGTTTATGCTCATTTCTTCGATTATATTTTATATTTTATTGCAATACCTTTCGTGGACCTTTCATAGCATCGTAATGTTTGTTTACTTTGCCCGATAGGTAGCCGGTTTGACGGTTCAATAGGTAGACTTGGCTTCACTCTTGGCGTGACTCATTATACACCGACTCTAGCCTAGTGATCTGCGGGATGCAATCAATGCACTTTTGGAAACGCAGCCGGCAATGCTGAATCGAAACGCAGCAGGCAATGCTGAATCGACAAAACCAGCTACCGCAGCAGACCGTACACGGTGTTTGTCCTCGTTCGTGGGATCGTTGATCAGCCATCAGCCACCAACGCAAGCGGATTGAAGAAATTGGTAGCTACACTTTTGATGATGCCATCCGACAGCTAAAAGCTCTTGGCAACGAGTACGAAACACGGGATCCTTGGCTCATCCATCTGCTGCTTGAGAAGGTGGACCGAGAGACGCGCTTACTGTGGGCGCAGAAAATCATCGACGAGGAAAATCCGAAGTTCGCAGAATTCATCCTGCAAAAACGCTGCAATGCTCTGGAAACTTGTTCGGCGTTTTATAGGAAGCTGGGAAAACCTGCGAAGAAGGAGATTTCGAAGGCAACTGGAGCCAAGAAGAAGTTTCAAGCCTTTCATGCTGGTGCTGCACTTGTGTCGTGTGCGCAGTGCAGCAAGGATCACCCAACGTGCCACTGTGAACAATTTATGGCCATGGATGTGTCCGCGCGTAGGGAATTGGTACTTAAGTCAAAACTGTGCAACAATTGTCTGTGTCCATCGCACACAGCGAAGCGGTGTCAGTCGAAGTCGGTATGTCGCACTGGTGATGGTAAGTTACACGATGTAAGAACGCTAATCGATTGTGGTTCCCAGGCATCTCTCATCACGACAGCATGTGCCAACCGCCTTGGGTTGAGGCGTAGCAACGCTTCGTTGGAGATCACAGGTGCATCATGTGCCACGACTTACGGAGTCTCGCTGAATGATTTGTTATTGGATGCACGAACATTAACGCTGAGATATTCGATATCATGGAGTTCAGGTTCGTTGAGGTGATATGGGTGATATTTACGGCGGACGCAGTAAAAATGTACCGTCAAGTACTTACGCACCCTGACGATCGAGACTACCTACGTGTGGTATTGAGAAGCTCGCCGGACAGGTCGATACAACACTTATGGCTTTGCACGCTGAACGGATCATGAAGAATACATACGTCGACGATCTTACATCGGGAGCAAAATCGGAAGAAGACGCCATTCGTTTGATCAAGGAGATCAACGAGATCATGGAGAGTGCTGTATTTACATTACGGAAATGGAGTACAAAAACGCAGTACAGATACAGTTTCCGGATGAACACAATTCGGTGAAGTGAAAGCTCTGGGAATTCATTGGATTCCGGACATAGACGTCTGCACACTCAAGGTAAAGCTGCAGATTGATAGTCCCAATACGAAGCACCAGCTATTATCGGATTCGATCCACTCGGGTGGTTTGCGTTCGAGCTAAACTTCTATTTCAACATTGCTGGTTGTACGACCTAAACTGACACGATCCACTACCTCCTGTCGTTGAAGAAATATGGGTCGATTTGAAGGCAAACCTACGCCACCTGGAAAAGATCAGGATTCCGAGATGGGCAGTGAATTACGACAACCACATCGAACTACATGCCTTTTCTGAAGCTTCTGAGGAAGCGTACTCAGCGGTCGTATACCTCAGGTCCGTTGATCGCAACGGTGAGCTCAACGCAGCTGAATTACTCGCAAAGCTGCTGAAACAAGTTGCTGAACCCCTCAAACGCTTCCACGTATACCGGTTCGCCTGGACGGATTCGACCATAGTCCTGCAGTGGCTGTCAGGACATCCTCGTAAATAAAACACTTACGTGGCTAATAGAACATCTTCGATACTTGAGTTTGGAGGCGAACCAGCCCCAGGCTGAAAGCCTCCCTAATAAAGATAAACCAATCAATCTTCGATACTTGAGATTCTGCCACGGAAGCATTGCGATCATGTTGCATCGACTGAAAATCCTGTGGATTGTGCTTCTCGTGGGATATCTCCTACAGAATTAGTCGATCATCCTCTGAGGTGGACAGTACCGAAGTGGCTGGTGGAGGATTCCGCAACCTGGAAACGAAGTGTCTTGTCCGAAGAACACGATGAAGCTACACTGGAGGAACGTAAGCGATTCCAATTCCTTAACATTACTGTTAGCGTTCCAGTAACGACGTACGAAATCGAGAAGCAAATCCTCGATAGTCGATCGAGCTTCGGCCCAACCTGGGATCGAAGGCATTAACACGCTACGAGAAACGTTCTGGTCCTATTCTGCCAAACGAGTTGCAGGAGGCAAGGTTGCAGCTCGTCAGACTAGCACAGCACGAACACTACGAAGAAGAAGTCAAAGTCGTTGGCAAAGGGGAGCGACTTATTTCGGATAGAAGTAAGCCACCTCTTCACTGTAAAAGGGTTCCTACGACATCGTACGTTTTATTTCACATTAACTGACACATGTACAATAATTTTATCATCTCATATATTATAAAGATAAGAAAAATTCCAACCTACCTTAACTTTCATCCTCCTCGTCTTCCTCATCATCACCGGCCGCGGCCGGTTCCATAGTCGAATTGTAATGCTCCCCCAGACGGTACATATGCCTATGGTAGGTCAGCACCAACTTCCGGCTTGGATCCTCTCCTTCCCCGTGGACGGGCGACGTCCCACTCGCTTGGATTATCTCGATCGGACATTTCAAACTACTAGACAGTGCCTTTACCTCAATCTCCCCTCCCCACGATTTGGTGTTTCTAACCTGATGGCAGTACTTGCGGAATTCATCCTCGTTCAGGATGTCTCCCGTGTCCGGATTGGTCATGTAGAAAATAATGCTGTCCTTGTTGTCCTCGATATAGTCGGCCGTCATCTGCCTTAGATCGGTCGTTTCGTACTCACAAACCCCTATCCGGGCGAGCTGGTGTTTCACGGCATTGTACAGGCAATCGCCATCGGCAGGAACAGCGAAACTCACCAGCCCCCGTTTGGACAGTATCTCCGCTATCTTTTTGTCCTCCAAGATCCGAGGAGAGTTCTTATTCAGTGCTTCCTCCGCCTTGATCTGCGCCTGCCGTTTCTTATCATCCTGAGATTTTTTCTCCCGCCTTCGTTGGGCTTTGGAGACTTTCGGTTGTTCCACTTCCTCGCTTTCGGCGTCGTCAGCTTCCGCCTTATTTTCATGTAGCACTTCGACCGCACCGGCGGTTTCACTGATTTTCAAAGAATTAAACTTGTTCAGCTCATCGGCATGCCGGGCTTCCAGATCCGCTTCCAACCGGGCGATTTCATCCTGCTGTTCCTTTTTCTTCTTTTTGTCCACTTTAGCCTTTTTGAGAGCCTGGACCTTGGCCTGCAGATCCTTTTTCTCCTTGCGATGGCGAGCGAGCAGGGTTTCTTCGTCTTCGGCGCCCACATCCGACGTCGGAAGGTCCCGAGTTGGCTGGACGTCGCTCATAGCGGTGGGATTGAATTGGTCTGGAAAGAAAGCCGGAACTCGTTATGGGAAGTTATCGAGAATATTCAATTTTTACCTTGCAAATCGAAGAAAATGCAATAATTTTCGACCGACGTTTGACCGGCGATGAATGATGATGGTGATATTGATGGCTCTGATCGGTTTCAATGATGACAGACGTGATTTTAGAACTTGAGCATAACGACAATAATGTACGCTTAAAATAAAGTTGACAGAAATAAAATAAAACAACCCAAAAAGAAGCTCATTTCTACACGTTTACTTCAACTTACTTAGGGGCTGTTCATTAACTACGTAGATAGTTTTTTGGGATTCTTGACCCCCCCCCCCCTCCCCATACCCCTGCGTAGACAATTGTCCATACACATTTTTTTTAAATTTGTATGGGCGCGGATAATTGCGAGGGGGACGACTCTATCTACGATGCAGGAAAGATTGTGTTTTGCTGTGGCTAGCTGTGCGCACGCTGAGTAGATAGAAAGCAGATTGACGACGATTCTGAAGATTTCCTGCAAAAAAAATGTAGCGCGATGCAAGTAGATGCGAGAAATGAAAGAGGATTTTTCGAAGATTGATTCGGTAGTGGGAGATTTGTTGAGCATCTAGACTTGAGATTTAGATGTGTCGCCCCCTCGGATAATTGAGTGTAGTGCCATGTGTAGATTCTGTGTCGTATCACTAAGAAAAACAGCTCTAATGACTGCTATAAAATGTTCAAAGAAAATAAAACACGGCTCCTCGGTAGTTCCATAGAGGTAACTCTAAGACCAGAAGGTCCCGAAGAAACGTACTCACCTTTTTGGCTCAGCTCTGGTACTAAAGGGTGATACGGTCAAAATTTGGTCAATATCAACTTGACGTATTTCTTTCAATTTTGCATTTAAAAAACCTGAACACCCCTCATTTTGAAGGTGTGTGTGTGTAGAATGTTGCTCCTATTTTGATTTTGGAATTCACTCTTCATTTGTCAAAATGCCGTCCAAGCAAGAAGAGCAGCGTATCAAAATTTTGCTCGCGCATCTCGAAAATCCGAGCTACTCGCACGCAAAGTTGGCAAAATCGCTAAAATTTGCCAAATCAACCGTTACAAATGTAATTAAAGTGTTTGGGGAACGTTTGTCGACAGCCAGGAAGTCTGGATCGGGGGGAAATCGAAAACCGGAAGCCGCTGAGACGACAAAGAGAGTTGCCGGTAGTTTCAAGCGAAACCCTAACCTCTCTCTCCGAGATGCCGCAAATAAGCTGGGTGTATCGTCTACAACCGTGCATCGAGCCAAAAACCGAGCCGGACTATCAACTTACAAGAAGGTAGTGACTCCAAATCGCGATGATAAACAAAATACGACGGCCAAAGCGCGATCCCGGAGGCTGTACACGACGATGCTGACGAAGTTTGACTGCGTGGTAATGGACGACGAAACCTACGTCAAAGCCGACTACAAGCAGCTTCCGGGACAGGAGTTTTATACGGCAAAAGGAAGGGGAAAGGTAGCAGATGTTTTCAAGCACATGAAACTGTCAAAGTTCGCAAAGAAATATCTGGTTTGGCAAGCCATCTGTACCTGTGGCTTGAAAAGCAGCATTTTCATAGCTTCCGGGACTGTCAACCAAGAAATTTACGTGAAAGAGTGTTTGAATAAACGTCTGCTGCCTTTCCTGAAGAAACACGGTTGTTCCGTACTGTTTTGGCCGGATTTGGCATCTTGCCATTACGGTAAAAAGGCCATGGAGTGGTACGCCGCCAACAACGTGCAGGTGGTTCCCAAGGACAAGAACCCTCCCAACACGCCAGAGCTCCGCCCAATTGAGAAATACTGGGCTATTGCCAAGCGGGACCTAAAGAAGACAAAAAAAAACTGCTAAGGGCGAGCAGCAGTTCAAGGCAAACTGGCTTTTTGCGGCGAAGAAGGTGGACAAGGTGGCTGTACAAAATCTGATGGCAGGGGTCAAGCGTAAGGCCCGGCAATTCGGATTTGGAAAAGCGGAAGCCTAACTGAATATTTTTCCTGAATTTTATACTAATTGAACTTGAAAAAGAAATTTAATTTGATTTTTTAAATAAACGATTTCACCGATTTACACGCGTTTTCCCTTGACCAAATTTTGACCGCATCACCCTTTATCTTCGGTCCCAAGCTAATCGATTCACCCCTCGAAACATAGGAAAATCCACTAACCCCTCATTTTATCTGTCAAACTTTTATAGCGAATCAAAACAAACATTGTGTAGTACTAGAATTTTGACTAGAATGGGCTACGTTAATCGACCAATAGGCTAGTCAAGTAGTGAGCCAATTTAAAATCGTTAGTTTCGTATTGATTGTTGGTAGTTCTCTAAACTTCTCGTCGAAAAATCTCTGATTTTCTCCTCGGAAATTCTTTGAACTTCTCTTTGGAATTTTTTGTCAAAAGACTCTGAACTTTTCCTCGGAAGTTCTCTGAACATTTCGTCAGTACAACTTAAATTCACTGGCTGGGCCACCACATGGGCCCAACTAACGAATTTCCAAGGAGAGATTCAAAGAACTTTCTACTAGATGTTCAGAGACCTTCTCTGAGATTCTCTTTGGCAGTTCTCTGAATTTCTCGGGACATCTCTGAACTTCTCCTCGGAAGATCTCTGAATGTTTCGTCAAAAGCTCTCTGAACCTCTCCTTGAAAATCCTTTGATCATTTCGTCGGAAATTCTCTGAATTTCTTTTCGGAAGTACTTATAATTTCTCGCCAAAATTCGTTCAGAAGTTCTCTGAAATTATGCTCTGAAGTTCTTTGAACTTCTTGTCGGATATTCTCTGAACATCTCGTCAGACGTTCTATGAACTTTTGATCTGTATTTTTCTGAACATTTCTAGTTGGAAATTCTCAAAACTACTCATCGGGAGTATTCTGAACTTAACGTCGACATCCAAATTTCTCTGAATTATTGTCAGATGTTCTCTAAGCTCTTCCTCGGAAGTTCCCTGAATTTCTCGTCGGAAGTTCTTTTAAGTTGGGGGTCAGGGGGTAAGTCACTCTGCCACCATGTGTCTGTGCTTATTGTGTTTCCAGTGTGTTTTTGGGTGTCGGAAGGTGTTTCATCATGTTGACCGAGCTGTCAAAACTTCAACCGAAAAAATATATTTACTGGCAACCATATCCTCAATCATAACAACATAACGCCATTAATGGCAGATCCTCCTGCGACTCCTTTGCTGTTGTTTGTGTGCAGATTAATCCATGAAACGAGCATTGGCCCTCTCACTTGAGGAGGAAGACGAAATGGGCGCCTAACCTGGCGCCTGATGATTTGCTCATTCTCAAGGGGGCCTTCAGTCAGGCTGAAATCTCGGCTGAAATGCACAACTGGCTTATGAACAGTATCCCGGAAATACCGAAAAATATTTATGGAAACGAAAGGAATAGGCTCTTTTTCCGTCACGTCTTCATTGTCTTCTAATTTGTGAATACGGCAAGGCGGAAGCGAATTTCAGAAGCGACAACATTTCTACCATTTAGATTCTCAAGGACTTTATTACGAAGGAAGTCACCAAGAAACGGATCAAGCTGCAGCTTTCAACAAATTCGATTTGATTCATAACAGCGTAGCACCCATTTTCAGATATCAACGAGCCGGTTTAATCAAGTCGATCGAGCCGAAGATCGTTCACTACAACAAGCTGACGAAGGACCACCAGATACTGCAGACACTGATCGATTTGGACATTCGAAACGATGAACCGCATCTACGAGATTCTGACCGATCTGTACATTGATAAGTTCAAGTTCAAAGGGGTCAATGTGAAGACGAAACTGCCGCAGTTGACTGACCTGCTGGAGAATTATAAATATGACGAGTTGGTCAATTTCTACAGTGTCGGGAAAGCGGTTGATGATGAGTAAATGGACTGGTATTTTAAATAAATCTACATTTCGGGGACACATTCCGTTTGAAGTCAAGTTGATCGATCACCTTAATTTTGTCTGTGCCTTAATAGGCTAAATATTCATTCTTTTCTAAAAATAATACACCAAGTCCCCTGGTCATAGTAACTATCTTCCACGCTGATCCCGCCCACCGCCAAACACAATTCGGACATCTCCTTCTTCTCGAACCACATGGTAATACCTGAGAAAAGTTACCTTCGCTTCCTGCTGCTGCCGTTCTACGTCACGCAACTTCCAAGGAAGCAACAAATTCTTATGCTGAAACTGCGTCCTGTTGGTGGGAATTGGCAGCACCGATTCCCCGTTGCCATGTTCAATCGGAACCACCTTCTCCGGCTCTCCATCCCAAGGTGATTTATTGTTGTGCTTATGCTACCGTATATAGCTTGATTGTCTTTTTTAAATCAGTGCCCGTCCTCCTGGGCGAAGTACTCGACACATTTTCCCAATCGCTTGCCTACGAAGCCTACGATGATCTGAGGATTCAACCCCAGGTATTTACCATTACCATAGAGGTAACTCTAAGACTACTGGGTCCCGAAGAAAATCATTATTATTTTTGGCTCACTCAGTACCAGAACAACGGTCCCAAGCAGTCCCAAGCTATTTCACTCAACCCTGCATGTTCTGCATGAATCCACACACCCCTCATTTTATCTGTCAAACTTTCATAGCAAATCAAAACAAACATAGTGTAGTAATAGAATTTCAACTAGAATAGGGTAAGTTAATCGTTTGCTTGGGACCAATAGGCTACTAAAGTGGTGAGCCAATTTAAAATCGTTAGTTTCGTATTGATTGTTGCCATTACCGCATCCAATGTTAAGCAGGATAGACCCGGGACTAAGCGATTCCAAGAACCCTGCAATTCATGGCCACGGTGAGTGCCTCCAGTTCTAATTGGGCAGCGTTCTCTTTGATACGATCAGCTCTATCATTCGCTTCTTGTTGATACGTATCACACAGAGAACTAAACTGGGAACGTCAAGGGCCGTCATTTAACTTTCTGAATGTAAACGATACTCTTTATTCACGTTTCCTAATTGTTAGGCTGCCATTCAACCTTAACCGTATCCATTTTTCTCGGCGTTATTCCATGAGTCCATCCGTATCGACTTTCGCCGGACATTGCGAGCAGAGACCTTCGGGGCAAATCCACATTCAAGTGTTGTCCCGTGGTGTCCCGAAAATCCATTACTACACAGCAAAAAAAAAATGTAATATCGATCAACGTAATTCAAGCTGATGTATGAAATAATGATGTAAAAGCAAAAAGCAGATACAATATTACATCAATGGCTGTAATTTTGTTCGCAAAATCGATGTACATCGTTCAATGTGATATTACACAACCGATGGATTGACCTGGTTGCAGCAGTTTCGATGTAATATTCAACAACTTTTTTTGCTGTGTATATCACTTCCGAGGGTATCGAGATTTGCCGATAATACTCGTACTCAGTCGTACCAATCTGGGATCGTATCGTTGTAACTGTAAACAACAACAACAATAACAAAACAACAGAATAACAATCGAATGTAAACATTATTTGCAGTGGTGCCAGAATTGATTAAAAAATTGCTTATCATACGTCGAAAGGGTGTTTGTGGGTGTTTGAAGTGTGTCGAAGTGTGTTTCTGTGGGTGTTAGCACAATGTGGCAGAGTGACTTACCCCCTGTATTCGACCCATTTTTGAATAGTTTTGTAATAGCGTGAACACCTCAATGACAATCCCATAAACCGGTCTACTTTCCCATCGATGAACCCACCATCCCACGGTTTGTTTATAAACCCAAACTGCATCGCGACGATTCCGTAATCAGCAGCTGTCAAAAAAGTGCATCGCAACTGTTTGCGATGCAGCTGTGTTGTGCATCCCAAAACCGCAGGTGTATATGTATTCGTGTGATCTCGAAAAGAAAACAACCGACCGAACACGCCGGTCATTTTCTCAGACACAGGCAGACCAGACTGTGATGGTCAGGCCAAAAGAAAGAGGTAACAGGAAAAGCAATTTTATAAGCAAGAAACCATCCTTCGTTCGTTTCGTTTCGCTGGTTTCGTCCACCGGATCGGATTCATCATCATCATTTCGTTCGCAATCGTTCGAACGGACAGTCGCGGAAAGTGTTTTCGTCTTCACTCACCGAAGCCGTTCAAGAAACGCGTGTGTTCTGTGTGGCGCAAAAAGCATCGAAAGAAGAAGACTTAATTTTTATGCTAGTGCGATTTTTTTTTTATATTTGCGCGGTGTATTGATCTTCGATGGGAGAAATTTGCTAATTACCGGTGATTTTGTGCAAAAATAGTGAATCGAATAGGGTGTTATTCAACTGACTTCCTTGGGCATCGTTGTCAACGTAGCAGATTTCGGAACGAGGTGAGTGCTTTTCCCCACGAAGAAGCAGTGGAAAACATCGTGGAAATTTCTGCCAACTTTTTTTCCTGGTGAACATAACCTCAATCGTGGGGATACGAATGGGGGAAAATTCAATTAAAGACCGTGTCGTCTTTTTCTCTTTATTATGATTAGAGGGTTGTTTACGCTTGGTTTTCAATTACACTGATTTTGGTAGTAATTGGAAACAGTTTTCGCAGTACCGAAATCAAACGAAATGTCCACTCGGCATTGCATCAGATTTTTTTCAGTTACTAGGATACCGGGAATGTCCTTTTTCCACCCACCTTCCGTTCCCGTTTACGTCACCACTGACGTTGCTTGTTGCACTGCAACTGTTATTGTTTGTAGAGATAGGGAAGCAGCAATAAATACCTACCTACGCATTTTCCAACGGGTAGGGTACGAGTCATCATCGGATAGAAGATCAGGTAATTCCTCGATAACGCACCACGCTGAGGCTGTTGGATGGTAGGCAAAGAGACAGAAAGCAGATGAATCTGATGGCAAATAGTACGGTGAAGAAGACATGTCAATATTCTATTAATACTCTTCAATACGCAGAGCTTATCAACGTTCAATGTGGGCAGCTTGTTGTTCAGGGGAAGATTATTCATAGTAGGTACCTAACACCTACCGGTAAAAGGGATCAGTTTCTTCGGAGGAAAGTTCCACTGATCACGTTCTAGGTAAACACCACATTACCATGTAACATGTACATTACCAGCACAGACACAGAAGAGGATGCGACGAACCGAAACGGTAAATTTGCTTATTGTAGCAGAACACACAGCTCGTCACATTCCACCAGCAGCAATAATAACTATCATCAGCGGCCTTGGTCGGGGCAATGGAAAGCCGGTCTCTATAACAGCAATCAAGCCAACTAATCTGTATACACTTTGTATGGCATTAAACTGATGTACCTACGGTGGTTCTAACTTCATTTATGACGCGATCATGACGAATTGTGTGCAAAACATGGTTGCAAGCTGCAGAAATTTTCCGAACTTATGGCAAAGATCGTCTGAAACTTATAAAGAAGCAACGGAAGTATACTGATTCTGCCATCGCAATCAACGACTGCAGTTAAGATTCAGTTTAGATTGTGCCTCCGATAACATCTACCATCAATCCTGGGAAGCTGTCGGCGTGTCAGTCATCAACCTTTCCTATCTCTGCCTTCAGGTCGCAGCAGCAGAAAATTCTCGCAAGCTGCTGTCGGTGATCGCAGTTCATGGCCCGTTCTAGTATAATTGTCTGCCATCCCTTGAAGTCCAATCTGAACCGGACCATTCCAATGAACTAACGACAGTATATTTCCAGGCGTCAAATCGTGACAGGAAAATATCCCGATTTAACAGGCAGATAAAACTATCATCGAAACAAACATATATATCATTCATATATACCACCGACTCAAGCGACTGAAGTCATCCAAACGAGCTGCCTTGAAGACATTTTGTAAACTTCGAACGGATGCATCGAAGAGGAAGTACAACCTCGTTAACAAATAGTATAAGCGGCTCAAAAAAACAGCTTTATCAAGCCCATCAGCGCCATCTGTGGTACCTTAGTATATTCGGATTCCAATTCATGCACACAGTAAAAGTACTTGTTATCTGTTTGGTAGCACAGTATATTCTGAATTTTAATTAATTGTCATGTTATCAAGGCCTGCTTAGATATTATTTTGAACATCTTCTTTTTTATATAAACTGGGACCAAGTTTTAATCTATTTAATCAACATAAATACTTAAATCGTTACAAAATCAAATCATCAAATCTTGGAGGTAGTTTTCTAGTTCGTTGATTATTACCTAACTCTTCATTGTTGAATCCCCGGAAGTTTTCTTCAGCTCCATCTGATGATATGTTTCCCCCTCTTGATCTTCTTCAAATAGTGATGTTCTAACCATAGGTGTTGATGCACATGGTGTTATTAGGTCAGCAGTGGTTGTAGCTGTTGCGTCTTTACCAGAACATGAAGTGTCAGTTGAACTAGATGCGGCTTCTGTTGGTGGAGTCCTAATTCTCTTCAAGTGTGCAATGTTTCTTTTGCGCGATCTACCACCGTATATTTAGTTTTATGAAACGTTGTTGCTAGTTTGTTTGATGGCAAAAGGTTTTCCATTAGAACAGTATCTCCTCTTTCGATGTCTGACTCCTGAGCGTGTCGCCTTCTGTCCTCCTTTTCTTTTCCTTTTTTCTTGTTGATCTTGTCCAGGTCACGATAATCTGATGCTGCTGGTGTGGTTTCAATGTCCTCGATTGACGGCAACTTGGATCTGATGGTACGCCCGTAGCACAGTTCTGTTGGAGTTTTCCCGGTTGTTGAATGAGAAGTTGTATAATACATCAGCAAATAGTCGTTTAAATCCTTCTTCCAGTCTCTTTTCAACGCGTTACTGATCTGTAGTCGCTTCAAAAGTGACCTATTTTGTCTCTCTACTAGTCCGTTTTCCTGAGGCCAATATGGTGTAGTATGATTTAACACTATTCCATGTATCTTGCAATATTCTCCGAATTCTTTCCCAATGAATTGTTTTGCATTGTCAAGTGTTATTGTTCTAGGATAGCCCAATCGCGTAAATATTTTGACAAGTCTTTCAACTGTGTCACGGGAACTAATCCTCGACATAATTTCCACTTCTTTATACCTGCTAAAATAATCAACTACCACAAGTAAATACTCTCCAGAAGGTAAAGGTCCCATGAAATCGATTGCAACGTCAATCCAAGGTTCTGTTGGCAATTCTCGTCTGCTCATCGGGAGCGGTTTACTTGGCATTCCGATTAACTGACAACCTTCACAGCACGAAACGTAATCTTTTGCTTCACGATCCATAGCTGGCCACCAGGCCCGATCTCTCAAGCGCCTTTTCATGATCGATTCCCCTGGATGACCCTCATGAGCTAGCTGGAGCATTCGTGGTCGAAGTTCTCGAGGTACAACTAGTTTATTCCCTCTTACAATCTGTTACGATACCACAGGGCAGGCTCATTGGTAGCGAGGTGAGTTCCGTACCACCCAAGATCTGGCAACCAGCAAACGTCAAACGGAGCATAGCCGGTGACATGTCACTCAAACGTCACTTCAGCAAAAAACAACAATGTGATCGTGAAAGTGGAGTAAATTCGAGAGTAAACTAAAAGTCAATAAAATCTAATTTAATAATAAGTAAATTCTACCTAAAGCTTGTAAATCTAGATTTGGTGAACTATTGTCAAGTGAATTTAATGAAATTATCAACCTAGGTAAAATTATATACATTTATTGCCTATTTACACGCAAAGAAAATCCTAACCCTAAATTTATTATAGATAACTAGTTCTACTATTAGTACGGCTGGATTTATACCAATTGCTTAATATTACAAACCTAAGAGTAAGTACTTAATTAAACTTATCCTAACATGCGAAATTTGTAAAACCTAATCAATATTTATAAAACCTAGGGCAATTTGTTGCTAGCGATAATTCACGTTCACATAGAGTTTCGGGTTTGAACAGGAAGAACAACACGAAAATGTAAGTGAAAACCTTTATTTAAAATCCATTAAAACTCAAACAAATATACAATTACAGCTTTGAAGCTGCTTATGCTGCTATCAAAACGTGTTTACGTCTGCCCGAAAATCTATCCGAACAATCTTCAAAGATTTTCTGGAGGTTCTAGTCGAACCGAAAAATGAGCGACAGTAATGCAAAACACTGTGCCAAATGCGATCGGCTGGACACAGCAAACCATCTCGTTGGATGCGATATGTGTGAGACGTGGGTGCACTTCGACTGCGCGGGTGTTACGGACTCCATCGCCGATCCGGATCGCACTTGGAAGTGTGATCGATGCCGATCGCTGGAAGATGATGTTGTTTCCCATTCGAGGACGTCCGTCAGTCGCTCGTCTATGAGTAAACGCTCGACCCGAGTAGAGCTAAGTCTGCAGATGATTGAAGAGCAGAAAGCGTTGCGGATGAGGAGAATCCTAGAGGAACAGGCGGCTCAAGCAGTAGCGCGAAACAAGCTAGCCGAAGAGGAGGAGCGGTTTTTGAGGCAGAAGTACGATCTGCTCATGACCGAAGCGGATGATGCGGAAGAAGGAGCCAGTAGGAAATCAAGACTGAGCAGTCGAACTAGTCGAGAGAAGGTTCGATCGTGGCTTAGCAGACAGGAAGACAGCACAGCACAGCAAGTGACAGTAGTGCCCTCCAGTAGCATGAAGTCAACGGTCGTAGCCACAGAAGCAGTTCAACAGTCTACAATTCCAGCTCCCATCACATCAAGTCCGATCACGTCAAACGTTCCCGCCATAGTAACTTCGGATCCAGCGTCAACTTCAACGCCAAATTCAGTGGATGGTTCCAGAAGCGTGAAGCGTTCATTGGCAACGATGGTACCTCAAATTCCGATTCCAGTGAGGTCAGACGGCAGCTTCGTATCACGCACCGAAATCACATTCGACGTTCCCCAACGGCCTCTGGTAAGTTCCTCCTTGCTAACGAGATGCAATTCTACTGTCGGGATCGACACTTCAGCTACGATGGATGGTCCGCGGAAAGTCAACAGTAGTGCTCCGCCTCCGAATATAGAAATTCACCCTATGTCCAGTAGTCATTACCCACGAGTTAATAAAGTACCAATTAGTGGGAGTAGGGCATCGGGATGTGGTGATTATGCCGTCACATTTCCCTCAAGTAGTAGGCCAATATTGCAGGATAGCATAGTAATTACAAGCGTACCACAAGTCTCTTCTATAAACTATGGGTGTACGCCAATTGTTAGCTACAATTCCGCATTTCCGACCGCAGTATCAGGGCAGAGTCAACCGTTCGCTACAAGCATTCCGGCACAAAACTATAGTAGTAGCGTCGCCTTTCAAAACGTTGGTACTAATCCAAGAACGTCATTAGTCACCGGGGGTCAAGGGTCATCCCAGAATCCCGTCTCATCAGTACCACTGGTACACTCCCGACCAGTG